TATACCCCAATAAAGATGTTAAAAAAAAAAAAAAAGACACTAGAGCTATTCAATGGGGAAAGGAATATCATTTCAATAAATAGTGCTGGAACAACTGGAAAAAAATAAAATAAAATATGATGCTGAATCCAAACCATCTGCCCTGTGCGACAGAAGCACATGAGACCCAGCATCTCCCCACGGATGCAGGCTGCCCCTGAGGCAACCTCCCGGATCAGCTCGACGCTCTGTACCCACGGGCTTTCCGCAGTGCCTGGTACAGCCATGGGTTCCCCTGGGACAGATGGAGGTTGTGGCAGATGGTGGAGTCGTCTGTCTCTTCCACGGCCACCATGGGATGTTAGCACGAGGCGATCCCGAGCTCGCCCGCAGCCTTGCCGTCCACGTGGTCGAAGCTGCTGCCTATCCGCACCATCACCCTCGGGGCCTCGAACTCCTTCAGGTCCTCCCCGGTGAGGGTGATGATGCGGTACATCGTGGCACAGACAGCCTCGTTTAAAACCTTCTCGTGGATCTCCTGAGTGGACTGTGCGTCACAGAAGGCCACGGTGGCCAGGTCCTTCAGGATGGGCATCTCCACTGCGCAGTCTCGGCCATGGAGCAGCGCCACCGGGGGGGGGTGGGGGCGGGCAAGAGGCCCCTTCATGATCTAGGGGAGGATACCTTCACAGATTCTGTCCAATCGCTGTCGCTTGACTTTGTGCTTATCCACAAGGGCCATCCTTTTTTTTTTGGTCGCGGGGCACGCACCATTCCGGATCTTAGTTCCCGACCAGGGAGCGAACCTGTGCCTCCTGCAGTGGAAGTGTGGAGTCCTAACCACTGGACCGTACAAGGGCCATTATTTACCGAACATTCAAAAGCCCAAGTGGTCCTCTAAGAACTTTGGGACCCTCTCAGGAGTCTGCGGGCATTATGCCACTAAGCACCCAATATAAATTTGTCCACAAACTCTGTAGTTCACGTCATGGGCTGTCCGTCTTTTCTTTTCTTTTTTTTTTTTAATTAATTTATTTTATTTATTTATTTTTGGCTGCATTGGGTCTTCGTTGCTTCGCGCAGGCTTTCTCTAGCTGCAGCGAGCGGGGGCTACTCTTCGTTGTGGTGCGCGGGCTTCTCATTGCGGTGGCTTCTCCTGTGGAGCACCGGCCCTAGGCACACGGGCTCAGTAGTTGTGGCACGCGGGCTCAATAGTTGTGGTGCACAGGCTTAGTTGCTCTGTGGCATGCTGGATCTTCCCAGACCAGGGCTCAAACCCGTGTCCCCTGCATTGGCAGAAGGATTCTTAACCACTGCGCCACGAGGGAAGCCCCCATCCTTTTAAGAGATTCGAACTTCATTGATTTAAAACGTTTCAGGTGATGAAACCCAAAGCAGGAAGATTCTGCTTCTCCTGGAGTTTCTTCTCAGGGGGCAGGAGATGCCAGCTTTCCTTATTTATGGACAGGAGGGGCTCTGGGGTTGGACGGGACTTCCAGCAGCTAACTCTCCCCTGTAGGTATTTTTAAAGATGTGATTCACACCTATGGCCAGTTGACTTTAAAAGCAGATTACCCATGGGACTTCCCCGGCAGTCCAGCAGTGGAGACCCTGTGCTTCCATTGCAGGGGCACGGGTTTGATGCCTGGCTGGGGAACTAAGATCCCACATGCAGTGTGGTGTGGCCTAATAAATTAATGAATTAAATTAACTTAAAGCAGATTACCCTTGATAATGTGGGTGGGCCTCTTCCAATCAGTTGAAGGGCTGAGGAGAAAAAGTGGGTTTCCTGAGGAGGAAAGAATTCCAGCTGGCAGTGTGCAGATTCTTGCCGTCAGACTCAAGACCACAGCATCAACTCTTAACTGAATCTCCAGTCTGCTGGCTTGTCCTACGGATTTCGGATTTACCAAGCTACAAAATCACATGAACCAATTCCTTACAATCAATCAATCAGTCTCTCTCTTGATTGATAGATAGATGATAGGTATTAGATATAGAGGTACATTATTGGTTCTATTTATCTGACTAACCCTGCCTAATATGGGTGGTCAGGGAAGGCTTCTGTGAGGAGGGGGTTCTTGAGTCAGGACATAGATGACAGGGAGGAGCCAGTCATGGGGGATCTGGAAAAGACTGCTCCACGCAGAGGGAACAGCAAGTACAAAAAGCCCCAGATGCCCGGGGGCAAGGGCTTCAAGATAATAAAGACCACTCAGTGTCTATTCTCTTTTTTTAAATTATTTTATTGAAGTATAGTTGGCTTACAATTTTTCTTTTGCCCCACAACTTGGCTTGCAGAATCTTAGCTCCCTGACCAGGGATTGAGCCCGTGCCCTCGGCAGTGAAAGCGCAGAGTCCTAACCACTGGGCTGCCAGGGAATTCCTCTTAATGTCTATTCTTACGTCAGCAAACAGCCCTTCTTCTATAAAGGGCCGTATAGTAAATATTTTAGCCTTTCAGGACCGAGAGATAAAATAGAGGATATTCTAAAGGTACTTATAAAATGAGAGGAAGATTCCAGCCTGCCATAGGCCCCATTAGCTTGGGATGGGCCACCCAGGGTGGAGGATGTGATTTGTGCTCTGCTACTGGAAACATTCCCTGGATGAAGAATGATGGGCCCGAGACTTGGAGATCCAGGTGGTTAGAGAGGGTGTGGGATGACCACTGAGGCCAGTTTCTCTCTGCTCCGGTGACAACCAGATCCCAGGCAACCTCTCTCTCCCAAATTCCAGCTGTCTCATGTGGATTAGCTGGCCAGAGTGGAGACAACATGCTGAGTCACCAACTCCCGGAATGAGATGCATCCACTCAACACCCAGCAGTCGATGACAGAGGACATGCCAACCTGTAGGTGGCAGCCAGTGTGACCAGCTACAAAGGGTGGACAGGGGTGAGCGCTGGCTGCTGGCCAAGGATGCCGGCACTGGAAGCAAAATGGGGAAGAGGGGCCAGAGGAGGATGCCCCATCTGAGACCCTACCACTCACTAAAGTGCCAGCCCCCAAGAGCAGCTCCCGTGGCTGTACAGAAACATGAGCCTGGCCTGATTCAGCCCATGAGCCATAATTTGCTAACCCCCACAAGCTCAATGGAAGGTCATTGGAAGATTTTAAACATGGAAGAGGTGAGACCTGACTTACGTGTTTAAAAGCTGATGCCAGCAGTTCCAATCCTAGGTACACACCCAAAAGAATAGAGAGCTGGAACCCAGACAAATACATGCACACACATGCTTGTAGCAGCACTTTTCAGAATAACCAAAAGGTGGAAATGACTTAAATGTCCATTAACGGGGGAATGGATAAGCAAAATGTGGTTCGTCGTACACTGGAATATTACTCAGCCTTAAAGAGGAGTGAAGCACTGACACTCACTACGATGTGGATGAACCTTGAAAACATCCTCTGTGAAAGAAGCCAGACGCAGAAGACCACGTAGTGTATATTTCCATTTTTTTTGAAATGTTCAACACAGGTAAATCCATAGAGCAGGACAGCAGACTCGTGGTTGCCAGGGTCTGTGGGTGGGAGAGCTGGGGAGCGACTGCTTCATGGTTATAAGGTTTACTTTGGAAATGCTTTGGAAGTAGGTAGTGTTGCACAACATTGTAAATGTACTAAATGACACTGAGTTGCTCGCTTTAAAATGGTTTGTTTTCTGTGGTGTGAATTTACCTCAAATAAATAAATAAGGAAATAAGCGAGGCCATGCCAGCTCCAGGGTAGAGAATGAATTATAAGGTGGCAAGAGGTAGAGTAGTACATCCATTTGGGAAGCTACTGCAAGTGTCCAAGCAAGACATGATGCCAGCAGTTCCAACCCTAGGTATACACCCAGAAGAATTGAGTGTCTTAGTGCATCCGGGCTGCTATAACAAGATACCCTAGAGTGAGTGTCTTAAACAACAGATATTTACTTCTCACAGTTCTAGAGGATGGAAGTCTGAGATCAGGGTGCCTAAGTGGTTGAGTTCCAGTGAGAGCCCTTCTCCTGGCCCTCTTGTGGCTTGTATCTGGCCTCCTCCTCTCTGTATCCTCACATGGCAGAGAGGGAAAGAGAGCATGTATCTTATATCTCATCTTATAAGGACACTAATCCTATTCAGGAGGGCTCCACCCTCATGCCCTAGCACCTCCTAAAGGCTCCACCTCCAAATACCATCCCATTGGGGGTTAGGGTACCAACATCAATTTGGAGGGCACGTAAACATCCAGTTCATAGCACTTAGGGTGGTCGCAGTGGAAATGGAAACAGGTGGGTGCATTTGAGATCTGGTTTAGAGGTTGAATCAACAGGGCCTGCTGAGGGTAGGATGTCGTGACAGGACGGAAGCAGGGGTCCAGGATAACTCCCAGGCCTTGAGTTTAGTTAGCTGAGTAGACAGTGGTTCTACCCTCTGACTGTGAATTTCAATTAAAACCTGCATGCATGCACACACGTGTTCATGCAGACATGCAAGCACACTCAAGCACGCACCTGCACCTGCACATCCATGCATGAACACGCATGCATGCGTGCATACACAGCACACACATGCATACACACAGACACACATGCACACACTCACACACACGCATATACACATCCACGCATGCGCACACACACAAACCACTCATATTTTCCACTGCTCTTATCACCATCTCAAACACTAAATAGTGTTTTCTCTTTGGGGTTTCTTATTAGTTTTTCTCAGCCCGCTAGAATGGGAGCTCCATAAGACCAAGGACTTTTGTCTCCCTTGTTCATGGCTGTGCCCCCAAACCTAGAACAGTGCCTGGCACGCAGGAGGTGCTCAGTCAGTATTTGACAACCATGTGAATGACATGGCCAGAAGGGAAAACTGGGGCTTTCCCTCTCCCATCCCCACCTGAGTCACATCTTCAGATGCTTCTGGAGAGACTCTGAGTGAGAGAGAGATGGGGCCGGGCCAGGGGTGGGGGGACAGGAAGAAGAGGAGGATGAGTGGGGAAGGGGGAGGGGCAGCCCCGGGACCCACAGGCGCCTGTCAACAGCGTGAAAAGCCCAGGAGTGTTGGGCAATCGTGGTTTCCTCCCAGCCCGCAGGACCCAGCCGTGCCAGCCCAGCCCCGGGCGTCTTGGGGCCTCGTCCGCTCAGGCATGGAGGAGACAGTGGTGAGGCCCTCGGTGTTCATGGTGGATGGACAGACGGACATCCCTTTCACAAGGCTGGGGCACAGACGCAGGAGACAGCCCTGCAGTGCAGCCCGGCTGGGCCTGGGCCTCCTGCTGCTGCTGTTGACGACCGGAATGGCTGTCCAGGGCTGGTTCCTGCTGCAGCTACACTGGCGCCTGGAGGTGATGGCCGCCCCCCTGCAGGTAAGTGGTGCTGGGGTGGGGGTGGGGGGGCTTGAAGCCAGTGTCACTGAGCATCTGTGTGTGTGTGTATGTGCAGAATGGAGGACAGACTGAGAGCAGCCCAAGGCAAGTTAATTCACCTCTCGGAACCTCAGTTTCCTCATCTGTAAAATGGGCGTGATAATAAGCATCTTCCTAGGGAATAAAATAGGACATTGTGTGTGTGGTGCCCAGCTGGCCCACACACACGCCCACACACGCCCAGCAAGCATTCAACCAATGGGAACAGACATTTTTTTTTTAATTGAGATATAATTGACATAGGACATCGTGTAAGTTTAAGCGTACAACATATTAATTTGTTACATAAATATTGCAATAGGGTTGCTATTGTAGTGTTAGCTAATGCCTCTCTGGTATCACATAAATATCATTTCTTCTAGTGGTGGGAACTAACAAAATCTAAGCCTTTAAGAAGTTTAACGTTTATAACACAGTTGTGTTGTCTGTAACCCCTGAAATCGACATTCTGACATGGCTGGTTATTATTATTTTTTAATATTTATCGGACTCTTCCATTTAGCCACTTTTATCTTTATTTTTAATTTTTTGGCCGTGCCGCGCAGCACGCGGGATCTTAGTTCCAAGACCAGGGATGGAACCCGCACACCCTGCACTGGAAGCGCAGAGTCTTAACCACCGGACCGCAGGGGAAGTCCCTGACATGGCTAGCTGTCATCAGCCGTAACCAGATCACCATTTTTGGGACTGTCACTAATCCACTGCGTCCGAGTCTGTGAAAATCTCTCTGCATCCATTTCCCATTGGCCTTGGATGTCTCCGTCGGTCTGTCTGCCACACCTGTGGGTCTGTGTGTCCCAAGCCACGCCCATGTGGTCTCAGCCTTTTTGCTTCAAGGTCCTTTCTCCTCATGGCGGGAACTGTGCTGCTGTCCTGCACCCATGTACCCACACGGCCATGTGCTCACCTGTCTACAGCCCATGTGTTGACATCATGTGTCTTTGTTTCTGCGTCTCCGTGTGCCCAGACCCACGTGGCTCCATAAACCACGCAACCCACGTACCTGCATCCACGTGTGACTTGTCAGTGTGTCACACAAGTGTCCAGGTCTGTGCCCATGTGTCCATATCCACACGTTAGCATTTATGTCCAAGTGTCCAGCCATCCACGTGGCCATGTGTCTTTGACAGCACTTTTTTACTAAACCCTTATAGTACCTGCTCTCTGCCGGGCACTATAATATGCTTTTCACATGAGAATTCGCTGAATCTGAAGCAGGCGCTTTTCATGTGTCCATTCACAGAGGGGAAAACTGAGGAACTGGATGGTTAAGAGCCCGCTGGGCGGCGGGGTGTGAGGTGGGGTGTGCACATGGCCTTGGATATGTCTGAGGGTGATGTCTGTGCCCGTGGTCTGCATGTGTCTCTCAGCCACGGGTCTGAGTGATGCCAGGGCATGGGCCCCGCAGATCCTCACCATGGGCTGCTCTGCACTTTTAGGACAGAGGTGCAGGATCCTGGGATCAGCTGGTGCAAGGTGAGTCAGGGTCCTGGTCCCAGGAGAAGGGATGGAATGGTTCCCACGCTGCCCCCACCCCTTCAGCCCATTGCCCAATGTGATTTGCACAACTGGCCTAAGCCCCACAGATGCCCGTCCCCCAAGCTGGAGAAGCAGAAGTTTGGGTCATTCCGGAAAGGGTGGGGTTGACACCAGGAGGTGGACTGAATGACCCCTCTGGAGGCTGGCCCTTACCCCTCTGACTTCTAACCCTCTCTCCCCAGATCGGAGGCCCCAGCGGGCCAACCCGACAGCACACCTCACAGGTGAGGGGGCCCCCAAGTCCTGGCAGGGGCTAGGGGTTCAGCGTGTCCTGGGGAGACCAGACAGACACCCCAACATGGCAGCGTATTCCTTCATTCATTAATTATTCACAGAGCTGCCCAGAGCACAGGCACTGCCTAGGTCTGTGAATTTCCTAATTTTATTTATTGAATAAACCCTCGTACCAGTGCTTACTCTGTGGCACGCACCATGACGTCCTTTCCACCTATTAATTCATTAAATCCTTAGCCGATACTATTCAGAGCTCCATTTTACAGAGAGGGAGACTGAAGAACTCGGAGGTTATCAGCCTACTGGGCCAGGATGTGTTCTGCCACTTACAACTTCTGACAGTTTGGGCACATCAATGGCTCTGTGCCTCAGTTTCCCCGCCTGCAAGAAGGGGATGAAACGAGTTAAGATGTGTGATAAGCACGTTATTTTGTCACCTCCTGGGCCTCCGTTTCCCCACCTGTAAAGTGAGGATAAAGTGAGTTCATATATCTAAAGCTCTGGAACAGCCTAGCACAGAGGGGGTGGCACTCAGAGAGGGGTGGCGACTGGCCTGGGGTCACACAGCAAGCGTGGGACCCGTGCCTACCAGCTCCCCCTCTGTCTCCCTCCGCAGGGGCCAACTCCAGCCTGACAGGCAGTGGGGGCCCGCTGCTGTGGGAGACGAAACTGGGCCTGGCCTTCCTGAGGGGCCTCACCTACCGGGACGGTGCCCTGGTCATCGCCCAGGCCGGCTACTATTACATCTACTCCAAGGTGCAGCTGGGCGGCGTGGGCTGCCCCCAGAGGCTGACCGGCGGCCTGCCCATCACCCACGGCCTCTACAAGCGCACGGCCCGCTACCCCGAGGAGCTGGAGCTGCTGGTCAGCCGGCGGTCACCCTGTGGGCGAGCAAGCAGCCCCCGGGTCTGGTGGGACAGCAGCTTCCTGGGCGGAGTGGTCCACCTGGATGCCGGAGAGGAGGTGGTGGTGCGCGTGCCTGATGAGAGCCTGGTGCGAGTCCGCGATGGTACGCGGTCCTACTTCGGGGCGTTCATGGTGTGAAGGAAGTAGCCAGGGTAGACTGAACGGAGTCCGACAGACAGAGACCTCAGAGGGTGCCTCGGGAGACAGGAAAACCAGCAAGCAGAGATTTTGGAGTGTGCCCAGAAGAACCCCAAACTCGACAGATGGAGAGCTAATTGGGGACCACCGGGACCAAGAACCCAGTTATCCCACAAGGTGAAAGACCCAGCAGGCACCTCTGAAGAACCAGAGGAGACTGCAGACCCTGCCATGGACAACACTGAAGACACAGACCTGGAGACTTGGGGGTCTGTTAGCCCCAAGCAGGGGTAAAGCTGATCTGCCTGATATTCAGGGAAAAGGGGTGAGGGGTGGGTATTTATACTTCTGATTCAGAACTAAGTGGGACCTGGGGGTCCGGGGAGTTGACTGAGAACAGGAAACGTCTTATCACCCTCTCCATTCTCACAAGTGTGGGCAGAGTGGGGGAGGGCAGATTTATCACCAGGACTCACCCACCAGTGGAGAGCCCCGCCCTGCCCCACCCATGGTCTTAGTCACCTACCCAAGTCCCACCTACGGGCCTGTGGCCACACCGCAGCCTGGCCATGAAGTTACACTCAGAGATGCAGGCATAGGGATGTGCTGGTAGATGTTTGACAACCAGGTTTTCTGGGAGGGGAGAGACTTTGTAGTATCTGTCGATTTCCCTGGTGTAAATATTCCCACTGTGGCTGGTCTCTGTCTCCCATATAAATCATCAACCAGTTGGCTGTATCCCAGCACTGCTAAGAGCTCACATTCCATCAGGACAGCAAAACTGTTTCAGCACTCAAGCCAGAGCCTGGCACAGAGCCACTTGGGAAATGTTTGCAGAAAAAAACACAAAGAAAGAGAGAGTGAGAGAAGGAAGGGACGGAAGGAGGGAGGAAGAGAAGTAGGGAGGGAGGGAGGAAGGAAGGAAGGAAGGAAAGAAAGAAAGAAAGGAAGGAAGGAAGGAAGGAAGGAAGGAAGAAAGAAAGGAAGGAAGGAAGGAAGGAAGGAAGGAAGGAAGGAAGGAAGGAAGGGAGGAAGGAAGAAAGAAAGAAAGAAAAAAGGAAAGAAAGAAAGGAAGAAAGAAAGAAAGGGAGAAAAGAAAGAAGCTACCATCACAGCTACAGCATCACAGAGAATCACAGCCCCACAAGTTCAGTCACTCCTTCACAACCACAGACACATACACACAAAGCATCAGATTCTCATACAACCTCACACAAGTCATAGCATCACAAGCCCTCAATCACAAACACTGCATTACAACCACATAGGACACAGTCACACACAAGTCATCATCAGAGCCTCAGTCACCCACACAGGCCATACAGTCACACCACGTGTGACACACAGGATACAACGCTTCTCACATCAGACTTCCATAGGCTGTCTCACAGTCACACCCATTACACACAGAGCATCACAACGGCACACACACAAATACACACACAGCCTCAAGTTCCTCCTAGCCAAGACATATACATACTGAGGTGAGGACCAGACTTAGTCTGTAGCCCTGGTCCCCTTGACCACTGGTCTTGGAAATAAATGGTGAACTTTGCACTGGATCTGTCTAGTTCATAGGGGAAGGACGGCTCATGAAGGCATAGGGATAGATGGGATGACCCACAAAGGTCACTTTTACAGCTGAGAAATACGAACCCAGCTGGCTCAACTCCATGCAGGAAGCTTAGCAGGGAAACCAGAGACCTGATGCCCAGGTCTGCCTTAGCCTCAAATCGACAATTCCTGAGAAAGCAGGGGCTACACACTTCCAAGTACCCTAACTGCAGACCTCCAGCACAGATTGGCAGTCTACCCAGCCAGGCGGAAGCTTGGAGTAACTGGGGGCATGAAAGAGTGTGGGGCGGGGCAGATAATGATATGCATACAAATCAAATGGTTTATGCAAATGAGCATGGACCCAGGAAGTAAGACTTCCCTGGAGCCTAGGATGAAGACTCAGACCTCAGAGGCGAATGAATCATTCTTGTTATTGTCGACATTGTTGTTGACATCGTTGCCTGGTACAGGGGTGAAGGGGGCTTGGTGATCAGATGGTCCTGGGTTCCAAGTCTACTCTACCACTTCCTGGCAGCGTGACCTGGAGCAAATCCCATCACTTCTCAGTACCTCTTAGGTAACAAGAGTCCTTACCTCCTAGGTTTATTGTAAAGATTAAATCTGATGAGGAAAAAGCCATTTGGTATGGTGCCTGGTACACAGTAAGAGAGCCATACGTGTGTGAGTGCCCTAAGTGATTTACAAATGTTAAGGAGAGCATTTGTCAGGCACGTCGCCTACGCCAGGCATCTCGTGCAAGTCACACCTTTATCTAGATCCCTGGGCAGGAGCTGTTGTCGCCCCCATGTTCCAGATGCAGAGACTGAGGCAGGGATGCGTCCCCCACTCTGCCTGCACCAAAGGCACACAGCTTCGTGCCTCTCTGCCTGTGTTGGGCTGGTGGGAGATGAGACAGCCCCAGATGCCCAGACCCCACCCATGCTGGAGTTTCCTTTACTCTCATCATGGTCTTTCTGTTTCTGTGGCTTTAATGAGGAGACCAAGGCGTGGGGAACTTATCGAAGCCACCAGCTGTCACCAGCGTCTGCCTGGGGATGGAACCTCTAAGTTTAGCCTCTGAAGATCATTCCTGGGAGGGGCCTTGATTTCAGATAAAGTGCAGGAGCAGCAAGGCCCCAGCCCAAGCCAGTGACCTACTTTACAACTTCTTAGAAGTCTATCTACTTGATTTCCGCTTTCACCTCTGGTGTCTTTTCAGATTTCACCCTCCCGCCCCACCAACTCTCTCAAGACCCAAAGTCTGCTATCCTCAGACTCCTTCCCAGCCCAGGGGCAGGAAACTCTCCTGCTTCTGTCCATCTCTTGCCAGGATCCAGAGGTAATAGAAGGCAAAATAATGGTGATTACATTGTCTCTTAATTTCCTATGATGACACGATGCCCTTCCCTGCTACATCTCACTGCATACAAACACTGAGATGCATCATCTCGGAGAAACAGAATGGGTCTTACACCAGAGCCAGACCACCTGGGTTTAAATCTCTGCTCTGCCATTTCCCAGCTGGGTGATTTCGGGATCCATCCTTGGCCTCTTTAGTCCTTAGCAGATATTTTTTTGTGAGCATAGTTGTAATCACGTGCACATTTAAATGTCAGGTTCTTTTCAGTTATTACATAAGGTGACCTTACATCCATAGACCACGTCTAAGTCACTGAGAGTGTTTTTCAAATGGGAATTCATAGCCAGTGTTTAAACATTACAAAACTTTCCACGTGGACAAATCCAGATTTCATGGCAAGTTGGAGGTTACTACAACTCAGGCTGGGTAGCGATTGTCCCCTTTGGACAGGGCATGAGCTCACCAGCTCACAACAGTCTCCACCCCTCCCTGTGGTTTCCCACTTGAAGGCTGAATGTCAGTTGCCTTTCTTCATCATGTTTGCATGATTGTTTTTCTTAAAATAATAATGATCTTTAATTATAGGTCATACTTCTAATGTACCCACTGCATGACAGGCACTGTGCTAAGTGCATTAATTCACAGTAACTCATTGAATTCTCAATGGTGGGGGCAGGTACTGTTATAATACCCATTTTATGAATGGGGAAATCTAAGCACAGAGAGGTTAAGTCATTTTTCTATCAAAGGTGGGAAAATATATGACAGCCTAGATGACCATGAGTTTCAAGAAAAATGAGAGTTCCTAGTTGTATTAGTTTCCTATTGGTGCTGAATACAATACTAATTTGTTATCTTACAGTTCTGGAAGTCAGAAGTCAGAATTGAGTCTCATGGGACTCAGATCAAGGTATCAGGGGGCCGCATTCCTTCTGGAGGAAAGATTTGTCCCCAAGCCCTTTTCTCAGGCTCTGCCTCTGTGGGAGCCCAAACTAAGACATGTGTGTAGCAAACATGAATCTCAGCTCACAAGGAGTGAAAAATAATTCAGCTTCCTTTTATTCATAACGCAACTTAATTTATGCAAAGATCCTTTTGCACTGGCATGCTGAGACCTTGATATTAGTCAGTTGGGAACCATAGCTCCCCACATGCTCCTGTTCCAAGACTGCCGAAATTCCAGGGAGCTTAGGAAATGCCAAGGCATTAAGGATGAGGGAGGGATCTGTCTAATTCTCTAGCTACACATGCACACTGGTGCCCCGTCTCTTCTGATCCGCCTCCGCTCTATTTTCCTCCTTGTGACCTATCAGAAGTGGTACTTTCTCTGCCACTCCTGAAGCTTGTTCGTGAAGTTGACTTTTAAGCCAGGTTTAGGTACAGGAAACTCTTTGAGGCTCTCTGTGGCTTCAGCTGCCCAGAGACACCACTGAGTCATTTCCTTTTTGGGGACCTGCAGCCTCTCTGCAACAGAGAGCAGTACTCAAGCCTCTTCTAGTTTTCAGTCCCCCTAGAACTTCTCTGGGGGAATCTTCCATGTTTCCAAGGTTGTTTTTTTCCAAAAAGCAGAGCACAGGAACTGCCTGCCCTGTCATGGCTGTTGAACTGTGTCTTCCCCAGAATTCGTATGTTGAAGCTCTAACACCCAGTATCTCAAAATGTGACTATATTTGGAGATAACACCTTAAGAGAGAAAATTAAGGTGATTCAAGTGGGCCCTAATCCAGTATGACTGGCATCCTTATAAGAAGAGATTAGGACACAGATGCACACAGAGGGAAGACCATGTGAGGACACAGGGAGAAGGTGGCCATCTATACAAACCAAGGAGAGAGGCTTCCGAAGGAACCAACCCTGCAACCCTTTGATCTTGGATTTCCAGCCTCCAGAATTGTGAGAAAACAAATTTCTGTTGTTTAAGTCACTCAGTCTGTGGTCCTTTGTTATGGCAGCTCCAGTGAACTAATATATCACCCTAACCACCCTCCTGCCCCACCCCACTACCTAGGCATAGTTAAGATATGCCAAGTGCTTAATAGAGCAGTTCCTGGCACATACTAGGTGCTCAGTAAACATTGGCCATCGTTGTTGACATTATCATTATTTATTTCTCCCATCCCTTTCCCCATTTGGGCAGAAGTTGGCTTTGTATGTTCATTTCTTCACAAAAGAGATGGTGGAAAGCAGGAATAACCTAAGAATCTCCACCTGGCATTGATCTCCAAAAGCATAAAGTAATGGAGAGGTTTAGGGTTTGGCCAGAATTGGGGGGGGATACGTAGGGATAATTCTGAAGAGCCACCCTGGCTTCAGAGCTCCCCGTGAGACCCACTGAAGCCCCTGCTGTCAGAGCCCAGCACTTCCCTCTGCCGCGTCCTGCTGCCCTCACACCCTCACACGCGCTGAACCTGACAGCTCTTGGCAATTAACCTCCACCATGCAAATCTCCCTTGCAGAGCCTGTTTTGAGGAAATACAATCTTTTGAGAGCGGCCTCAGCTGACACAGACAGACCCTGCTCCTACTACAAACTCATAGACATGCTGAATAAAGTATAATAAAATACTACAACATATAGATGAACTTGAAGAAAGAAACATCCCTAGATGCTTTTGGAAGAGAGAAATTAAAGCCAGAGTGACAATGGGGCGGGGGGGGAGAGGCTGTGGGTCAAGGGAGGGGGGGGGGGGGGGGGATTGGTCCCAAAAGTAGACTCTAGGGGACAAAGAAATGGGAATGTGGTAACCCTTAGGGTCAGCGATGTGGCTCAGATCTATAGGACACCAAGGAAAGGGAACTGGGGCCCCTGCCCAGAACCTGAAGCTTGGAAAAGTAGTCCATTCTGATTAAGGGGGTCTAGAAAAAGTCTACCTGTTATGGGCAGGGAGAAGAGTCACCCACAAAGGATGGAGACCTCAGACCTGCTTCACGTGTGAGTGCGTTTTGAGTCTCTACAGAAAGTGCAGGAAGCATAAGACAAGCTCCTTGCGGTCAGGGAATGTGTCTTGTTTTTTCCATCTCATAACCAGAACACAATAGGTTCTCAGATGATTGCGGTTGAATAAACTGACTGTGACTGACCTTGACCAACAGAATGTTACGGAAATTCCAGGAATTCTAGACTCTAGTCCTCAGGAGGCCAAGTAGCTTCCAACGTTTGTCTTCTCGGAGCCCCGAGTGGCCATGTGAAGAAGTACAGCTATCCGGTGAGAGAGGATGGGTGGATGGAGAGCCCTGGAGGATGAAATGATGTGAGAGGCAATCCGTATAGTTCCACCAGCCTCAGATAAGCTGCCCCAATCCATAGGGCTGAAACTAACATCCTCCCCAAGCCCTGCCGGGCCAACTCACAGAATTATGAGCAAATTAAACACTTGTTTTACACCACTAAGTTTGGGGTGACTTGTTATGCATCAGTAGGTAACTAATAGACTGTGCAAGCCCTTTTCTATAACCATACAGATAGATAGGCAGGCAGACAGACAGGGAGACAAATAGATGGATAAATAGATGGGTGTTTCGATGGGTGGATAGATAAGTAAGGGGATGGATGAATGAATGGGTAAATGAGTGAAAGTATGGGTGGGTGGGTGGATGGATGAATGGATGGATGGATGGATGGGTGGATAGATGTGTGGATGGGCGGTGGATAGATGGGTGGGTGGATTGGATGGATGGACCAATGGATGTACAAACAAAGAATGAATAAATGGATGTTGAATGAATGGATACACACATAGATTCTAAATCAAACTCTAACCTTAGTAACAGCCTATTTTGGCAAAAAAAAAAAAACCCACTAATTCATATCATGTAGGCATCCATTGTAGGATGTACCCCAATCTTAGAGTAAAATCTGTGGAACTAAGGCAAAAAAACACACAAAAAAAACCAGGGCTAATATATATGCCAGATTTAGATATAGCTTAGAGGAAGCAATATGTTGTCACGGGTACATTATCCTGATAGCAAGAAAGTCCTCTGAGAGCATCTTTTATGTCCCAAAAGGAAGCCAGGCAGATGATAAAGTCTACTCCTTTGGCCGATGTGCCTGTACCAAGACTAGTACCAATACTGTACCAACACTGCTTTCACTAATATAATGAATACAATAAGTCCTGCTATCTGGGAGGACAAAGCCCTTCTTATTCTACATCTTCAGGATTATCTTGGTTATGTATGGTCCTTTACTCTGTCAAGTTCCATGGAAAACCCAGTTGAGATTTTTACTGGAACTGCCTCGAATCTGTAGATCAAACTGGAGAGTACAGATATCTTTATAACACTGACTCATCCAGTTAACGAACATGGTATAACTCTCCTTTTATTTAGGTCTTCTTTAATGTTTCTGAATAATGATTCATAACATTCTCCATAAATATTTTGTACCATTTTTAGGTTTATTTCTAGGTGCTTTACATTTTTGCTGCTGTAATCAACGTCATCTCTTTTTTAAATGATATTTTCTAACATTTGTTGCCGGTATATACAATGTAATAGATGTTTGCAGTCATCACTGAAAAAAAAGTCCCTAAAATGGACGTCCTTGTCTAGATTCTGATCTTTAAGTGAATGCTTTTAATGGTTTATCATTAATGATGAATCTGCTGTAGGGTTTTTTAGGTGGCCTTTATCAGATTAAGGAAGGTCCCCTCTATTCCTAATTTGCTAAGAGATTTTTTAAATCATGAATAAATGTCGAATTTTATTAAATGTTTTCTCTACCTCTCTTAAAGTATCACATGGTTTTTCCCCTTTAGACTGACAATGTGGTGAATTATGTTCATCAGTGTTCTAACATTAATCCAAACTTTTATTCCTGGAATAAATCCAATTTGGTCATGATATCTTTTTAATACATTACTGGAGTCAATTGAGTGGTATTTTATAGAGGATTTTTGCATCTGTGTTTAGAAGGGAGATAGTCTGTGGTTTTTCTGACTCATACTATCCTTGTCAGGGTTTGGTATTAAGGCAATTCTGGCCTCATAAAAGAAACTCTGTGTGTGTGTGTGTGTGTGTGTGTGTATGTGTGTGTGTGTGTGTGTGTGTGTGTGTGTCTGTATTCTGAACTAGTTTGTGTGCTGTTAGCATTATTAGCTACACAGATATTTAGTCGAACTCTCGTGTAAAAACATCTGGATCCGGTGCCTTACTTGTGGGGAAGGTTTGTGTGTGAGTGTGTGTATGGAAAGATTTTAAAGTTATTCTTCAATTTCTTTAATGAGTTTTAAGCTCTTTAGACTTTGTGTTTTTCCTTGATTCCGAGTTCTTGAAGTTATATTTTTCTAGAAATGTGGGTATTTTATCTACATTTTCCCAATCATGGGTGAATGGATGCCATATTGGTGAATAAAATCATTCTCCATGTCTTTTTAATGTTTCTTCAACCTCTGCAGCCTCTGTAATTATGTCCCCTTTCTTATCAGTAATACTTCTTTTTTTTAATATTATGTTTTTTACTTTCCCCAGCTTTTCAAACGATTTATTTATTTATTTATGTGTGTGTTTTGGCTGTGCCAGGTGTTAGCTGCAGCACGCAAGATTTTTAATTGCGGCATGCGGACATCTTAGTTGCGGCATGCATGCGGGATCTAGTTCCCCAACCAGGGATCGAACCCGGGGCCCCCTGCACTGGGAGCATGGAGTCTTACCCCCTGGACCACCAGGGAAGTCCCGATAATATTTCTAATTTTCACTTTTTCTTTGTTTTTCCTTGATCAATGTCACCAGAAGTTTATCGTTTTTCTTCTTTTCAAAAAAACTAAATCTTGGCCTTTTTAATTTTTTGAGGAATCACCATACTGTTGTTCTGTTGTGGCTGCACCATTTTACATTCCAACCAGCTCCCCAAATATTTGTTGTGTATTTTTCGGGGGCTCTGTGCATGTTTCATACATGTGGCCACGAGATCAAGGTTGTTCCTGTATTGTTCAAATCTATATCCTTACTTTTTAAAAATTGAAGTACAGTTTATTTACAATGTTTCAGGTGTACAGCAGTGATTCAGTTATACATACATACATGTATGTATATATATATTCTTTTTCAGATTCTTTTCCATTATAAGTTATTGCAAGATATTGAATATAGTTCCCTGTGCTATACAGTAGGTCCTTGTTGTTTATCTATTTTATATATAGTGGTGTGTATCTGTTAATCCCAAACTCCTAATTTATCCCTCCCTCCCCTTTCCCCTTTGGTAACTATGTTTTCTATGTCTGTGAGTCTATTTCTGTGCTGTAAATAAGTTCATTTTATCATTTTTTTAGATTCCACATATAAGTGATATTTGTCTTTGTCTGATTTTTCACTTAGTATGATAATCTCTAGGTCCATCCATATTGCTGCAAATGGGATAATTTCATTCCTTTTTATGGCTGAGTAACTTTCCATTGTATATATGTACCACATCTTCTTTATCCATTCCTCTGCTGATGGACATTTAGGTTGCTTCCATGTCTTGGCTACTGTAAATAGTGCTGCTATGAACATAGGGGTGCATGTGTCTTTTCAAATTAGTTTTCGCCTTGTCTGGTATATCCTTATTTTTTGTCTGCTTGAGCTATGGATTGCTAAGAGAGATGCTTTAAAAATCTCCCACTTTAGTGGTGTAGTTACCTAATGTAACGTAATTTAGATCCTTCCCCCACCCCCATTTCAGGTCTTCAAATTCTGCAGAGCATTTTTACATCAATAGCACATCTCAATTCGTATCATCCACATGTTTGAGGAGTTCCGTCGATCTTGCTTTATTTATTGTGAGACTATGTTATTAAGCACGTACACATTTAGAGTTGTTATATCTTCAGGACAGAGAGCTAGTTATATCTAGTAAGGCTTCCTACATTAAAGTCTATGTTGTCCAATAATTACAGGGTTAAATCAACTTTATTTCTGGCTGTTTACATCCTTTAACTGGCAACTTATTATACCTTTTAAGTTTAAATGCAAACAACATGTTACTGGATTTTAAGTTTTCTTATCCAGTCTGACAATATTTGTCTTTTACTTCGAGTATGGCACTGATGCTGTCCAATAGCAATGTAATGTGAGCCATCTCTGTCATTTAAATTTTTCTAGCAGCCAAAGGTGAACAAAATGGTGAAATTCACTTTAATAATATGTTTTATTTTAACAACACAACCAAAATATTATTGCCTCAAAAGGAATCAATATAAAGTTAGTAATATCTTACCTTTTTTTAATTCCAGGTCTCCAAGTTCTGGGGTACATTTCACACTAACAACACACCTCAATTCAGACCACCCACATTTCAAACGTTCCATTGTGATATATGGCTTGTGGCCACTGTATGGACTAGTGCTGACTTAGACCATCTACATGAATTGCAATTACTAATATGTCTGGATTTATTACATGCTTTCAGATATTTTTTTCTCTCCTTCCTTGCCTTGTTTGGGATTTTTCTCATTCCAATTTTTTCTTACACTCAGTTCAGAAATTACACATCCTATTCCTATTTTGGACATTTCATTAGACGTTTTATTTTTTTTAATTTTTAAATAATTTTGTGTTGGAGTACAGTTGATTTACAATGTTGTGTTAGCTTCTTTAGATACTTTCATTTATAAATGTAATCTATCCAAATCTAGCGTTATTCAGTCTTTTTCATCTCCAAAAGCCTCCGAGATGGTCTGCCTGTATCCACTTTCACCCCCTACAGGCCATTCTCCACACAGCGGTTAAAGTGAGATTTTTGGTAAACTTTTTTTTTTTTTACGTGTAAAATGTGCAAAATCAGGCATCATCTCACATAAAGACATCTGTTTGATGTCTTTATCAAATGTTTTTGATATCCAAAAACATTTTAGGATAAAAAAATCTTTTTATACTATTTAAAAAATGAAAATTACTAATCAAAAGGAACAAAAGCCAACTCAAGTATCACAGAGAAGCAAAGAGTAACCAAGGATTGTAAATTCACTTTTTAAAAAAGTTGTTTAAACTTTTTAAAAAGTCGTTAAAAATTAAACAAATGTCCATCAACAGAAGAATGGATAAAGAAGATGGGGTACATATACAATGGAATATCACTCAGCCATTAAAAAGAATGAAATAATGCCATCTGCAGCAACATGGATGGACCTAGAGATTGTCATACTGAGTGAAGTAAGTCAGACAGAGAAAGACAAATATCATATGATATCGCTTATATGCAGAATCTAAAAAAAAGTGATACAAATGAATTTATTTACAAAACAGAAACAGACTCACAGACTTGGAGAAGGAACTTATGGTTACCAGGGGGAGGGTGGGAGGGAGGGATAGACTGGGAGTTTGGGATTGACATGTACTCACTGCTATACTTAGAATGAATAACCAACAAGGACCTACTGTATAGCACAGGGAACTCTGCTCAGTAT